AACCTAATTTACCGATTATTAACTTAAATATTTATTCTCATTATTGGCGTTTTATTGACCATTGAATGTGTTGAAAGGTAGAGCCTACCCGTGGCGAAACAAAAGATGATTTCATCAATAGCCATTAGAGATCGACTGCGGGAGGTGGCAATTCTTGGAATCCATTTTGGCGAGTCTCGTAGGAGGTGATGGTATTTTTGGAACCCCTCTCCCGCCCGCTCGACATACACCATTATGTAATGGAACTAGGCCTTGCCATAAATCCACTAAATGTTCAAATTAAATCCCATTCATAAGGTTGCTATTTTATAGAGAGTTAAACGAGGTAATTTTGTGTCTGCATACACGATTTTGGGTTGGATTAAGTGAATGGTTGTGTCCCCTCCCTCCTCCTTTTGTGTTGTGTTCTACCAGTGGGTTTGTATTCCATCGTTTTGATCCTTGTGAGGGAAAGGTAGTTGAGAATAAGAAAAATAAGAGAAATATATCGAAGGACCAGCCTAGTTAATTAGGCAAAGAAATATGTTAGGTGAAGTACTTCAAAATCAATATTGTTGGGATTTGTCAGCTAAATATTTTACATCAAATCAATTATATAAAAATAAGTAAGTAACAAGAAAAGTTCCAATTTAGTGTACAATGTTCAGTTTTGAGAGTAAATAGTGAAATTGCATTAAACTTAATACTGAAACTCACCGAGGCACCTCAGAATGTCAATCATTCACAATTTGACTGATGTCACACATAGCCTTGGTAGATTCATAACTGGCTTCTTGAGTGATTAAGTCCAAGTTCGTTTAATGTCTTGCTGGTTGATAATAGGTACCTATCACTTAAAATGTCTTTTCATTCATGCAGAATTTAGTAATGTTCATGATAAGAATTGTATAAAGTAGTTTTACAAGTAAAATTATAATATTTAGCTTGAATCCCATGAAAAATGTATGTAGTTTTAAAATAAAATTGAGAACAAAAATTATGTGTGGTGATTGTATTGAGGATAGAAACACAATGTTTTCAAAAATATGATGTAAATAAACATTAAATTAAATAACTTTCAGCTGTCAAGAAATTGGGATGGGAAAGTAAAATAGGAAATTGTATTTAGAACAAAGAGGAAATAAAATTATAATATATTGAAATCAATTTTGAATAAAAGTATGGAAAAGTGATGAACCAGAACGCAACAATCCTCCTAGGCATTAGCAGTCTTAAATTTATTTCAGATTACAAAAACTGTAGTTATAAGAAAGTGTAGCCTTATGAGCCAATTAAAAGAATTTTTTCCTTTAAATATTGTGTAGTATTAATGTTTTACATAAAAAGTTAAGATAATTTGAAGTATACCCAGAACTAGGTCAGTATTAACCTCTGCAAAAACCCTTCCACTTTTAGGTGAATTCAGGGATTGAGTCAATAAAATGAATTACCTATAAAATAATTCCATTTTTGTCTAATTTAACTAGAAGCAAGAAAGGCGTATTAAATGGATTGATGTATTGAGATAATAAAAACAGAGATAAGGAAAATTTTAGTTATAGGCTAGACCATAAAACTAAAAAAGGGACCCTTTTCGTCAGACTTTTAAAAGATGGAGCTAGCAGTTTCCACGTTAATAAATTAAAAAACTCATAATATTCTAAACATTTTTTACCAAAGGGCTATTATAAAACAACAAACTCTTTTAAAGATATTCTAATTACAATATCTTTAAAAGAGTTTGTTATTACTAGTGATATTAGTAATATTAGTTATATCAACTAACAGTCAGATACTTATTTAAATAAATATTATTTATTAATGTGTTTACCTTGCCAGTGAGTGTGGTGTGTCTGGTGTGTGTGATGTGTGTGGTGTGTGTGTATGTGGTGTGTGGTGAACATAAATATGAAAAGTGTTCTCAAGTCTCCACTGATACATCAGGTAAGACAGCTGTCCAAACTGTCGTCGCGGAGGCTTCATCTTCATAAATCATGTCAAATACAGTTTGTATTTCCTAATTATTTAACTAATATTTATTTAGAAAACTCAATTGGATGGTGATGCTAATTGATGGTAGTACATATTTTTAGAAAAAATTTCAGCTTTCTTGGTATATTGTTTAGGTAAATAATTAACTCCATGTTGTCATTCAATGAATAGTATATGATTAAAACGCCAACAATAAAAAGCAAGAGTATCCAGAGAAAAATAGGGTTATTTCGTGATTTAAATTATTAAGAAATTCTAAAATTAATTTAAAAACACACCTTAAAAATGCTCCTTGTTGGATGAGGATTTTTAAATCAAGCAAAATTAGGTCCAAGTCCTGTCTTCCATTCTGGTGGGGTACGGCCCTCGAGGTAACCATTCCGGCATTCGCCTAAGAGAGGAAAGAAACCTTAGAAACTTCCCTCAGAATGGTTGGTCTCATAGTCAGACCTCCCGATGTGAAACTTACCACAAGATACATAATACTTAATATTAACAAGTCTTTTCTAACTCATACTGCTGTTACATATATATATTTTAAGAGGTTGGCGGCCTCTTTTAACCTTGCATTTGCCCGTCCACATAGACTAGATTTGTGCGTGGAACGTATCCAACAAAGCAAGGGGTGAGCCGGTCCAGTACAAAGGTGAACTGTACTGATAAAAGTTAGTGGCAGTGACCAGGATCCGAATCCACGACACTACTGCCCTGGGCCCGAAGTCCGCGACGCTACCAACTGAGCCACCAACTCGCCACCAAAATTATTCTTCAGGCCTTGGGCTTTTTTTCTGCCCAAACCTGTCTTCAATTGGCTAACAGTGTTGCTGAAGAACTCGTCCAAAGTTTCATTCTTTTCCAACATTTCGTCATATTCCTCAAGCATTTTCCCATAGCAGATTCTTTGGCACTTTACTCCGAGTAATTCTTCTATGTGCATGCTCCTTGCTTTACTAAAGCAATACATCAGATCTCCGTATTTGTTGCTTACTACACCGATCCTCTGTGAGTTCTTATGTAGCAGTAGTGACGAGAAGGGAAGATTTCAGCCAAGTTTTCACTGATGTTTCATCCTTCAGAACTGCTCTACTTTGTACCCCTCTGGAATGGAGCCAAAACACTGAAATTTCTTAAGGCTGTACTAAAATAATTTTGACAGAAATTTAATGTTTGCTTCCATCCATTTATTAAGTTAGTGAATGATTTAAATATATGGTTTCTATGGAAATATATTTTTCTCTACACTGATTAATTATGAAATGGCCTTTTTTCGTTACATAGTCACTACGAATCTTCATCATTACATTGCAAAAGATAGTTACTATGCGAAAGTAATGTTTACTTCCTTTTGGATTTTTTGACGTAAACAAACAAATATTTGTTATTGTTTTGTCAACTGTTTTATATTTAAAAACCAAAACTGTACAACCAAAGAAAACATTAACTTTAAATTGAGGTTATAGCCTGAAAAATGCTACGAATTTGGCAATGTTCTAGAAAATAATTAGTCTTTGTAGTGTAGCGAAAAGTGACGTTCAAAACACGAGTGAAAGTGAGTCTATACATATTCTCGACCATTTTGATTGCTCTATAAATCTCGAGGTTAGAATAAACTAAGTGGTAAAAGTACACTATGGATCAAGAAACAGAAATGTGTCTTGTGTCGTTTTACACCATCTTACTACGCCAACCCTCCCGTAAATTTTTCCATTTCAGTTTAGAGTATTAAGTGTTCTAAGTATTTATTTTGCACAGAATGTCACTTTCTCATTCTGGTAACCCTGTTAAACTAAAATTATAACAATTTATAGCGTCAATGAAAAATGTTTGCGTCGGCATCCACTCTATATCCAGAGTGTTATTTCAAATTTTGATTTAATAATGAAATCTTGTCCCTTCATACTAGTGTTTGTATGCATTGAAATGAAATGTAAATCAATGCAGATGGACGCGTATGTGTGGCTGAACACGACCGAGGTCCAAAGAACCGGAGGAAAACTACCAAGGAATTATTGATAGGAGGGATTTTCGTTTTAGAAAAATAAGATAAACAAATAACAATACCTACATAATTAGATTTGTCAATATACGTAAAATGCGTAGGATACAGAAATTCACAAGCTCAAATATAATTAACAGTAATAAAATGTATGATGCTAAGATGGTTTTTGCAAGTTTATTGTCTTTTTTAATCAACCATGATATTTGAGGTACAGGAGCGTAGTTATGTCGTGTCATGTGTCACTAACTAAATTTTACTGCGGAAACCCCAATGGAGCCCAGTTTTTGGTTACGGAACATAATTCTAGTTGACAATAGTTCTTATTTCCTAAAAAAGGAGTGCCATATAGGGTAATCAAGTAGACTGAGAATCTATGTAGAATTAAATACATAGATTTTCAAAGGATTGGGCCAAGAAAAGCCCACCTCCCAACGTTAAGCGGAATTTTAAATTTCGCACGAGGACCAAGTACCAGAAGAGTGTATGAGTTTTGCCAACGGGTATCAGGTAGCAAGGGTTCCCATCCGCGAATTCCTTATACTGCGGAGTTTTGCCATCGGTTGGAAGTTTGCGCGAGAGGGGGAGAGAGAGAGATTACACGTGAGCATGAGGGCTTCCGCTAGGGGTGGACAAACCAGGCAGGATGCTGACTGTGTTCAAAGGAATGCAGTTATGCATCTTTGACTGTGAAAGGAAATGTATTGAATTTTTAACTTAACCTAACCTAACCTAACCTAACCTAACCTAACCTAACCTAACCTAACCCACCTTACCCACTGTGACAAGCGCATAACTGCAGTCAACCCCAAGCGTAGACAACCCTGACAATCATTCTCTCTCCCTCCCTCACACTCTCTTTCTCCCTCCCCCACCGTTGGCAAATCTCCACACCAAGAGGTGGCCGACGGCATCCCCACATCTACCTGACACCCGTTGGCAAAACTCCGGTTCCCGTACCAGAAGTTGTGACTGAATGATTGCTCCACAGGTTACATACAATGTTGAATAATTTTCTACCTTATGTCCCCAGAGGTCAGTGAGGTGACGTTGACAGCCTCGCAGACTGTGGCCGCGCCTCTCCTCGCTCCCTCCAGAACCGGCCTCACTGCCCAGGAGGGGGATGATGTAGAGATATCTGTTCCTCTAGCACCTCAGAGTGGATCTCCATCCCACATTACCTGGTAAGTTATTTTGATAGTATATGTTTTGCATGAAATGTGATTTTCGAGATATTCGTTTTCACAGTATGAATCAAATAGTTTAAGTTAAAAATTAGAATTTTGCGTGTTTCTGCGGTACGATATTTTAACATTTGTTCATTAATCCCATGATGATATTTGATTCAAAGCTGCGTATGAGTACCAGCCAACATACAATAAAATGATTATTGTTTAACTCGTCCTTTGATTTTATTGATTTTCTATTTATGAGCTATAATATAGGCTAATCATTATTATGGTCTATTATGTAATTTCTTTACTTACGTATAACGACAAAAATGCGTGTTTAAAATGACTAAATGATTTAAAGTGTAAAAAATGCTATTATGTACAAAACATTAAGTAAAGAACGTTTTATTGAGATCTAATTTTTTCCACAGACGGTAGGGGGTAAAAACAAAAACGTTTTCAAAAGCTGCGGTCGCATGTCAATGTAGTGAGAGAACATAGAATTCACGAACTAACTACTGACGTATGTTAGAACTACATAATTTACATACCATAATTAACATTAACACTTTTTGGGTAAAATGTAAGTTAATTCTGAAAACATACCAAATAATTCATCATATGTATTGTTGCATTAATGTTTGATGAAGGTCTAAAGTTTGTCATCGTGTACATTTTCAAAGTCATTCGATGGCTTTTGAAACACTGAAACCAGATCTTTTTACATTACGACTATCATAAACAATTTTATAAACGAGCAACGAAATATGTATTTTGTAATCATACGCAGAACTATAGAATGAAAATATTATTTTACTCCGTGTTTTTCTGCAAAGCTCGAATGCACATACTTTTCCCCCTGACTGGTAGAGAGACAAACATAAATTCGCCTCTGTAAAATTAATAAGTTCAGCCCTTGGTGCTGAATTAAAACGCCATTTACTCAATGAAAGGGCCAACTTTTACGGTAAAGTATTTGCGGGCGCCTGTAATGTGATCGATGCAATATAGGTACTGCATGCATGTTGCCGCTGCGTTCTGCAGGGACAATCTGCACTAACATCAAGCAGATTAAAACTAGGCTATATGACAAACTACCATTTTTGGGTCGCCGGAATTTTATCCCCCTGGAATTTTACCCCCTGGGCAAAGCTGACGTCACTATGACGTAGTAACCTGAGTGGCCAAAAGTTTGTTCGCGGCCGGAATTTTACCCCCGCGGATTTGGAAGTCTAATGAAAATAGTCAGAGCGTGATTAATTAGATTAGCGATAAAAACCGGAATTTTACCCCCTGTCCATATAACTAGCGTTTAGGCAACTGAAGATGTACGGGCCGGAATTTTACCCCCCGGAATTTTACCCCCGGAATTTTACCCCCCGGAATTTTACCCCCTGGGTGATTTTAGAAATTGAATGATTGATTTTCTTAATTCCTGTTTTTAATTAATTGTAAACATTTCATTATTTAGTAGCATATCTTTATTTATTTATTTTGAAATCTCAACTGAGTAAACAGAATTCGCTGTTTTATTTTGATCATATTAACCAACAGTTGGCTTCAAAGATCGAATCCTGACACTCGAATCTCAAAATTAATATTAAAACCCTGTTCGATTAGTTAATGTAACATATAAATTAAGATAGGCTACTTAATAATAAAATGTTTATCATTTAATACTGAATGACGATAATTAATCATTCTCACTAATTTATATCTGGCCAGGGGGTAAAATTCCGGGGGGTAAAATTCCGGGGGTAAAATTCCGGGGGTAAAATTCCGGGGGGTAAAATTCCGGGGGTAAAATTCCGGGGGGTAAAATTCCGGGCCGTACATTCTAGGTTTTTATAATTTGATGTGTTCTGATTAAACTCACAACCGTGAAAATATATGTTTAATTCCGCGTTTAATCCATCGAGCTGATGTCGTGAAACTCAAATGTTCGCGGCCGGAATTTTACCCCCTGGTTTGTGACGTCACGTTTGCCCAGGGGGTAAAATTCCAGGGGGATAAAAATCCGCTACCCCCCATTTTTGTCTCTAGGCATAGTAAAATTTGTAAAATTAAATCCTTTTAATTACATGTATTACTTTATGTTATCGGTTTACGGTTGCTATTGCAATACCCAGAGTTTCCATACTAGTGTTACCTAAAATTCGCCCTTTCCTTTAAAAGATCTTTGATACAAACAAAAACTAGAATATTTTTAGTACTATAAGTGAGTCAAATATACTCCATGTTGTGGTGTGAGGTACATCTTGCTAGGATTCATCCTAATGTGGTGACGATGGGTGCTTTCTATATCATCATAAATTATTGTGTGAAATTAGAATTGGCATTCAATGGACCATTTGGCAAGTGTTTCCAACTGCGCAGCTAGCAGTTCCTCACACGGCCGTCAGATGGCAGCACAGTATGAGTGTACGTCGGTAATGTTGTTTGGAAAAAACAAAGTCGCTGCCAATGTACACACAGGCGATATGTCGGACATTGTGGAAGCAATCTTTGACCTTAGAAAGGTCTAGATATTCCATTTCAATGTTAAAATCGTTACCGGTCTTAGAATGGTACTTGAGCGTAGTTAAATAAAGCCATCTAAAGGGTTTACTGGTGTTGCTTACTAAGCTTCTTCGTAAACACAGACATTTAACCTAGCAAAGGCGAGGAAAACTAACTACATTCAGTAGCCTTTCTATCATCAGATCATTTAGCTCATAAAAGATTTTACATTAACACAGTTTGGAGCTTATTCAATCTTGTTGGAATTGAAGGTAAGTTTGGCAACAACTGGTTCATATAGATGAAATGTCTTACATAGTATTCAGCATTTAGTGCAATTAGGTCTGTTCGTTCAATTTAAAACTTCAGAGATAGAAGATGTGACAAAACTTTTTCTTTTGTGTGAGACCTTTATATTGACTGGAAACCCATTATCGACGAATAGTTTGATGTTACATGTTCTCAACCAACTTCATAGAAAGATCTACAGAAAACCATCGATCAATTCAAAATGTATATATATATAATTAGGCTGAAAAATTTGTAAGTTGTTTGTAAAATGGATATTTGTATATTATAGCTAGTTCATACAATTATGATTAATTATTTTACGGGACATTTATTCGCCATAATTATTAAACAAGATCATAAATATATTTGTAATAATCCTCTTTACTACACACTTAATATATCCAGTTTTTATCAACTTTGTACACTATGAGTAAGTATTATCTGCAGTACTTAAGGTGTCACAAATATTGAACACTGGCCATGTTTTAACCCATTTAGGCACATAATCAATCAACTGTTAACTTTGCCGAAGATTGTTGCAAGTATACGAGATCTTGTATTTATTTTTTCGCCAGTTACAATAAAGAACCACATACAAATTCCAAATAATTACATTTATAATTTTATATTTTCTTTCCCAAGAGCATGTACGTTTGATGAGACTGGGGGTCCGATATAGGCCAGACTCAGTAGAACTGAGTCATCGTTATTTTTATATCAGACTGTCCAGTCTAATGATTGACATATTTTATTCACTTTGCCAGATTAAAATAGAAGGCTTAAAATAAAAATAAAAATATCTATAACAGCTGGTTAATGCAATTGACAATAGTTTGTTTGTTTACATTTTTGTTTACTTATTTTATTATTTATTATCTTAAAGGAGGTTCAGTAAATGAACACTGATGCTATTTCTAGCTATATTCTTGATCAGCATCGTACGTGTTATTAAATTGCCTGAAAAAATATGTACTTCTAATAACACTTGTAATAATATATTTACACTTATACTGTTGACTCACAAGGCGGTAAATACATATAAAAGTTGGTTAGTGGTGATCAATTTCGATTGGACACTCCAATCATCATCAGACACAATAGGCGAACCCCTCTTACCAACTTTTATATGTATTTGCCGTCTTGTGAGTCAGCAGTGTAAATTGTAAATATATTATTACAAGTGTTATTGGACGTATATATATATATATACTAGCTGTACCCTTTGCAAATTGGCTGTAGTCATAAATTTAAAAAAAATAATAGTGCTGCACCTTGTTGGTAATCCTTGTAACTTTAATGCTATTGAACATCATAGAACAGAACCAACTTGTTTGATTGAAACAGCTGTTAAGAAATTCCTTTTAAATATGAAAAATCATAAGGTTAACATGGGAAATTCCAGAGCCACTGGGGCGGAGCCCGAAAGCCCGATCAGAATAAAAACTACTTAGTTTTCCTATTTAATGCCCAAAGAATCGGTGTACCGAATTTCAGCCTCCTAGGTAAATGGGAAGTTGGAGAATTAGTGATTAGTGAGTGAGGGAGTGAGTCAGTCAGTGAGGGCTTTGCCTTTTATATATTTAGATATATTTTTTTATTTTATTTCTAGCTGTATAATACAAGTGAGTGCTTTAAGGTGTTTGAAATAAGAGGAATATGAGATGAACATAACATGTCTGTTGGTCGTCCAAGAGGTTTTCGCCGATCTTTAACAGGTCGTCGCGACAGAGCGGCGAGTTCAGGTACAACAGTACCCACGTCGGAAACCTCAGGACGTAAGGTATGAAGGTTCCGCTGCTTTAAACATTCCTTCTGATGACAATTTCTCGGAACTTGGGCCCTTTAAATGAAATATTAAGTCAAAGTTAATTAAATTAATTTAATTGTAGCTTCTGTACACCCGTCAATTCACGAGTAGGAGCTCTTCATTCAATTAAATAACTAAATGAAATAATCGACCACTTACACACAATATTTTGGTAGTTTTTTTTTTTAATTCCAACGTTATATATATATATGCAAAAACAAGGCTTTATTAAATAATCCCTCAAAATTAATGGTAACACTTTGTATTCAGAAAGCTATATTCTCATTTTTAGAAAAATGTCTTCAGGTGTCATGCTAAAACTAATAGGCAAGTGTCATAATTGCCATGCCACCTCACAAATATGATAACATTCATGCTCAAATATAATAACACTGTCTGTGGTTCAATTCAACTG